ACACCCCAAAAAAATTTTACATTTTCATAATAAAATAAGTCAAAATTTCAGCATCATCCGATTTCAGCATCATCCCCAACATTTAATAATAGCATTTAATTTATATAAGCTAAATATTTTTTTAAATTTGTGATATATAAAGAATTTGTATTAAATTTTTTTTATGAAGATTATAGCAAATTTTTAGAAAAAAACTCTTTCCGTAAATCATTTATACAAAACAAACTCTAAAAAACTTTGAAACAAAAATAACTATAACTTCTTAAATACTAAGCAAACCTATTTTGGTGCTTTAAATAAACTTGCTCTGCTATTTATTTTACTATATTACAAAAGTTTAAAACATCAGCTTGCAAACTCATTAAACTATTTACAAAAACCTTTTAAAAATATAAAAACTTACAAATTTAAAGTTTTCTTAAAATTATATTAAGTCAACTAATTATATTCTTTAATAAAAACTTATTTAGCTCCTTCACACAATTATTTTGATATATAATATATTACAAACAAACTCAAACTTACAAAACTATAGCTAAAACTTTTTACCTTTTTTCTTGTGATTTACTCTAAATTATACTAAATAAACCTTAGTTCTTACTTAAGACAAATTTGTTCTACTCATCAAGATGAATATTTTGATATATAATATATTACAAACAGACCAAAATTAATAATTTTATATTAAAAAAACTTCAAACTCCTCTGCCAGAAAATGTATTTTTAGTTCTAAAAATTTACCAACAATTTTCTAAAATCCTATTGGCTTGCCCCAGAAATTTCACTTTTGTGCACTCATTAAAATTTCCTAGAACCCAACAAATTTCAAAAATTCACTCACTAAACTTGGAAAACTTACTGGATATTTTTGAAAAACTTATTGGTCTTTCTAAAATTTCACTACTTATATACTATACTTTTAACAAAAAATATACAATATCTCTATATTCTACTATATAAACTTTACTTAGCAAAACCTCAAATTAATATCTTTTAAATTCACTTAAAAATAAACTAATTTCAACAAACTTTATTCTTACGTCTAAAATTTATTTAACAAAAACTAACTATATCTTTATACTCTACTAAATAAATTTACTTAATACTCTAAGTAAATTTGATCTCAAGACTAAAATATACACAATATCTAAATTTCAAATTGGTATCTTCTGTATTTATTAAGAAAATTAACAAAACATCTTATATAACTAAAATTTACTTTAACTATACTTAACAAAAACTAAACTATAACTCAAAACCCAACTAAGACAACCTTCTTTAGTGCAGTCGGGAATTTTTCTATATATAGTATTTTTAAATATAGTAGTAATTATCGCTATGCAATTATATAGAAATTTTCTAGAACTAATAAATGAAATTAAGTCTGATTGGTTACAAATTTTCTTATATAAATATAATATTTGAAAAAAGAATATATTACTTCTGTACTTTTATTTCTGAGTTTTTAATAGCAAAAATATCTCTAATTTCAAACCTCTACGAATAGAAATATGAGGATTTTCTTCCGGAGGTATTGTTGCAGAACACAAAAGCAGAAAATTGTACAGTGAACTTCCATAAGTGCACGCTTTTGGGGTCGAACTTTACTAGTATGCACTTAGAGAACAATAAGAAAAGTGTATTTATAGGGTCATGTATATATTTAGACCTAAATTTAAGCATGCATTTAGAAAGTGTGTATATTTATAGAGGGTGTATTTAAGAAGATTTTATTGTATTGTAGAATAAGTTCTAACCAGCAGTTTTTATCTTGCTTTGTTCTTTTAATAGCTATATAATTTTGTAGTTTGATCTGAAAAAATGCAATTATTTTTGAAAATATTAGATGATCCAGTTTATGATCTTATTAAGACTCTCTTTATAGCTTGGAAATAAACATATCTCGAACTTACTACTCTTGTCAAAAGTTGATGGTATATTCAAATTTAAAAGTATAATCGTTATCGCAGCTGAAGCTTGAAATAGCTAAAGCTTGAAACTTTAATTACTTTAATAGGAAATTTTCAAAAAATTTTGGGTTGCATTTATTTAGCTTTTTTTCTTTATAGTTAGCTTAGGATTTAGAGTTAGTTTTGATAATTAAAATGTATAAGTGGAGTTTGGTAGGGTTTGTATTTTTAAATTGAGGTTTCTAATTTCAAGCTGTTTCAAGCTTCAGCTATGACAATTATTAATAAAATTAATGCTTCATTGCAATATACAGATATCAGATATTAGGTAAAATTGTATATACTATTATAATACAGTAATATGTAATAATTGAATTACAAAAAATTTTTAATATTTAAAAAACGGCAACATTAGAAAACAATTTTATATGTTCGAATAGTTTTGAAACTGTTAAAGACAAAGATAAATTGTTGTTGATTCCTAAAGTTCGCTAAAGGTAATAATTGTTAGTATAATTTTGGGCAGTTGCAAAATATCAAGATTAACAATAAATTGTTAATTTTCTGGCTCTATCTCATTTTTAAGCTTTTGGTCATTATGCAGATCTCTAATACTTTGCAAGATCTCTTGCAGTTAACTACGAGTTTTTTGCTACAATCCACGATACTTTAGATAGTTGGAGATATTAATGGAATTTAACAATGAGTCAATAATTGTTAAAAGCTCTTTTTTCATTATGTTTTCTTCATTCATTGCTAATGTTTCTTCTTGAGCTATAACAGGTATTGACCGAGGTAAGGAACTTGGCTTGTTGTTTATAAAAGTTTCATTATTCATCTTTTACATGCTAAATCACTAAAATTTTTCAATTTCTCGCTAAGTAGATGCTTCTCTCCAAAGCTTTTAAATGCATGATTGCTATCTTGAGAACTAGTGATACAAACGGCTTAAGTCAAGCCAAAAGCCAAATGGCTAAGCTAAGCTGATTAACGGCTCGGCTCTAAGTTTACTAATAAAGCATCAGCTCTAAAACGGCTCAGCTTTAGACTCTTAAAGCCGATATGAAGGCAAGAGCCTATTAATTTGTATCATATGACCATCATCCAATAGTAAATGATGAAAATACTGTAATTTTATTTGATAATGTGGTAATATATAAGCTTTAGTATTAGTGGCAAACATTCTATTAAAAAAAAAGTAAATTGCGTGCTATTTCTAAACTATATACCAAATGTTAGTTAAATAGGTAATCGGATCAGATTTGATATTAATTAAAGCTGTGCTGCTAAAATTTAATAGTAACTATTTTAATACTTGAATTATATGATTTGATTTAAATAATATATTATTAAATATGAGTGAAGTTTAATAAAATATAAACCAAGCAGTAATGTGTCATAACTAATACTATTTATTTGAATATATAATTATTTAATTTTTATTAAAAAAAAAAAAAAAATTGGAAATTTTACTTGACAAATACTTCACAAAATCAGATGTATCTAGCTAGTTTGCTGAAAATTCATCAGCATTTATTTTCTCATATTTACGGAAATTATTTATACTATTAACCAGTTATTACATAGTATGATATACATTCTCTGTATATTTTTGACTATTCGTGCAATATCAACAAAGTTGCTAAAAATCTACTAACAATTTGAGTATTGAATTTGAAAATAGAAATGATGAGCTGACAATCAAGCCAGTTTAACTATGATATTAGAACTTTAACAATGGCTTTAAAACTTTAGCCATGGCTTTGTAACTTTAACTATAGTTTTGGAGCAGAGCTATTTTAAGCTGATAATAACTGGCTTGAGAAGTTAATGTTAAGCCAGCTTGATTGTTAACCGATCTATCTTTATCTTCAATAATACAATTATGCGAAAAAAAAGATTAGACCTTTTAAAAAATAAAAAGAAAGTAAAATAAAATCTCACATATAGCCTTATGATCCAATTCTAAGCGCTAAAAATTTCTCAGCATGGATTTCTATTTGATTTACTATTGATAAGTATAAAAGGATCAAAAATTTATTTGCCCAATTTCATATTTATTCCCAATTACATATTTATTTAAAATTTTACTTACAATTATTATTGTTATAATGGATACTGATATTAATATTCTTTATGATACTAACGTTTCTAATATTTTTACTTCTACATCTTAGGATATTTTACAAGTTTCTGATGACAATGCGGTTACAAGCACTACTACTATGAGTAATAGTAATACCGCATCCAATATTTTTGTTACTTCTGTTATCCCTATTATTTCAAATAAAAAAAAAGTTAAACCTAGATTCCCTGTTTCACCATATTTTTCACAAAATCTATTGATAACAAGATAGTAATTTGTAGTTTTTGTAAGAATAAATTCAGTACAACTATGGCCACTGATAATTTACATAAATACCTCAACTCTCAGCACCCAGGTTGGAATATGACTAAGCCATCTTCAAGTCAGCAGTATCTTATTTTTACATCTAAAATGACAATTTCAAATCAAATTTTAACACCAGCTCAAAAAACTAAACTTTATATATTAGTTGCTGAATGGATTGTATCAGATACATTACTCTTTTCAATTGTTTCAAGCGAATCATTTGCTGCAGTGCTTCGATATCTCAATGCTAATATTGACTTACCTTCTTGTGAAACTATGAAGTCTACTATTCAAAGCACTTTTGTCATAATGCAAAAAGATGTTAAGATTCTTTTAAATCAAGTTTCTAGTAAAATCTCTGTTACATTAGATATTTGGACCTCTTGTACTAATGTGTTCTTTCTTTGCATTACAGCGCATTGGATAGATAATGAGTGGAAACTTAATAAAATTTTATTTATATTTGCATACTCCCCTATTCCCATACTGGTAAAGAAATTGATATACAATTGCATTCTGTCTTTGCAGATTTTAATATTACTAATAAAGGTCTTTGTGCTACTACCGATGGTGGTTCTAATATGGTCTCAGCAATACAATTGTTAAAAAAAAATCTTATTTTACAAAATCATCTTTTTCATTTTCTACCTCATCACTGTTTAGCCCACATATTAAATCTTATCGTCATGAGTAGTTTATCACCTATCAAATCATCAATCGAAAAAGTGTGTAACTTGGTTAAAGCTATTTTTGTTTTATCATCTCTAATTCAGGAATTAAAAGAGCTTGGGCAATTAGTTGGAGAAGATGAAGCAACTTGTAAAATTTTACAGGATGTTTCAACATAGTGGAACAGTATATATTTAATGCTTTCAGTCTACGTAACTATGCTTACAACAATTGTGGCTCTTATAAGATATAATAAGACTCTTAATAAATATAAACTTACATCACAAGAAGAATCTGATCTTCAAGCTATGACACAATTTCTTCAACTATTTTACGAAACTACTAATATTCTTTCTGGCAGCACATATACAATATTAGGCATTTCGATTCTACTAATTGATGATATTGTTAATACTGTTTCATCATATATTTGGAATCCAACAAGTCCAGAATTCTTAGAAATAGCTACAACCCAAATGTCAGATAAAATTCAAAAGTATACTAATGAAATTTATGATAAAACAGCCTTTATGGCTGCTATTCTTGACCTCCGAATTAAACTAGAGCTAATGCTGGATGATATAAATACTAAAGCAAATCAGGCGATTTTTGATAAGATTTTTAGAGCAGAATATTCTGTACTTTCTTTTAATAATTCATCTATTAATTCAGAAACATCAAATTTAACATATACAGAAAAAATCACTCAAAAAAAATAAACAACAAATATAATCAGTAATAGAACAGATGAATTTAACCAATACTTATCTGAGGCTATTATATCTATGGATATTGATCCTTTGGACTAGTGAAAACTTAATTGTACACACTTTCCTAATCTATCTAAAATAGCTAAAGATTATTTAGCCATCCAGTCTACTTCAGTACCTTCTGAACAGGTTTTCTCCAAAGCAAGTGACATGATTCGGGCTAAACGTCGCAGTTATCTGATAAGAGTATACAAGCTCTTATGTATATTAATTCTTGGTTGAAACATGATATTAAGTTTTATAGAGAATAATTACAATTATATACATACTGTATATACAAATAAATTTTAATTGTTCGACCTATCTTGTAG